ACAAGCAAAGGTTGTCAATTCAACCTCGTCCTCCAATGGACCAACTTTTAACTGATCTAATTCTCCAACTACTTACCATGACCATCATAAAAGTTGAAATTGTGTTTGGTGGCTGATACCCCGACTCAGCTCAACTAGAAAAACCATGGTTCAAACAGTCTGGCATATATAATGTTCACAATGTCCCAAATCCTGATTAGATCCTCAGTGGATCTCAGTGGATCATTCTTCCAAAGTACCCACAATTGGTCCCTATTTGGCAGCCTCATCGCATTGCCAATGCTGAGGGCTCGACTGCTGGCAAACAAATGCGGTCTCTCAAAGCTCATGTGCAGGCTCCTTGTCCGCACTGTAGTGATCGATGCTCGATCGATATACAGGCTCTTTGGTTGATTGGGTGGTAGTGGCCCAGAGTGCAAAACAGTCCTAGCAAATACTTTACAGGTCTAGTCCACGGGCTCAAAAGTATTTTGGTTTTGGTTGGACAGATTCATGTACGTTTCGAGATGTGGTCAACACATATGTGATATGCAGTTGGCCTGGTATCAGCTAGTCTATTTTTTAATAACACTGTGTACGCGCACACTCCAGTGCATAAGGACCTGAGATCGTTTGCTGGGCTGTGGGCGTATTCTGAAAACCGCCTAGGCAACCATGTTGTCAACATGACTCATGGGGTGCTCATTCCTGTCAAGTCCTTCTTGCCAATCTTGATCATGATCGATCTATATATAAATTCTATTATTGTATTGACCATGATGATCTACCCTATGTTCAACACTTTCGACAGTTGATAATGCATGTTGGTACTAACTTAACAACTGCATACCTAAATTAATAAATAAATTTAACCCACTCCTATCATCCACCAGGATTGCAACAACTACAGCAGTCACAGCATGACCAAGCGGCTGGGTGAGATGTCTGGAAAGAATAACTCCAGGGATTGGTGGAGAATGATGAAGGATGGTCCAGTTCCTGGGAGATCATCGTGCAACCTTTTAAATTATGTCACATGTCCATTTTGTTCCCATGCCTTATCTCCTCATGCATGGGATTCCACCCCGGACAACAAATATGAAAGTGTTCAAGCTGCATGATATCGTCATTGCATCTCCAATGACTGCATGCACGTACCGTACTTGCAAGGCCATTGAACAAATGTTGATCCCCACCAAGTACACAGACTTGGATGACGGCGTTGACAAATACAAAATGGAGAGCTGGCCCGTCATGGACCCGCATTCAATCGCGCACTTCTTATTTGAGTTTGCTGGACTCAAGATTCCAACAGGAAGCTTGAGGGAGTATTGGGAGTTCAATAGTGAGCATGGTGAGCATTGGGCACAAGGCGTGCCTTCTGATACAGTGCCCCTTGGAGTGTATGGCGATGGGGCGCGTGTGAACACCAAGTTCGGATCCATCAACCTGATTGGAATATATTTCAACATACCGCTGTGGAAACCCCAATCCGTTCGCGCAAGCAGATTCTTGGTGGCAGTTCTGCCCGAGGAAAAGTGTTGGCGCCATCATACCTTGAATACAATATTACGTCGGGTGACTTGGAGCTTGAACAGCTTGATGGATGGATTCCATCCTCGCAATGAGCCTTTTGGTGAAGATCTGCCCAAGCATTTGGCCCAACTAGCTGGAAAACAGTTCAAGTACAAATGCATGCTGACAGAAATCAGGGGAGACTGGCAGTGGCACAAACGCACCTTTCGTTTTTGGCAGTGCTCCTGGAATGGCAAGAAGGTTTGCTACTGGTGCAGGGCTTTGTCGCAATCAAATGACCCAAGTGACCTGTACTGGTCGTTTGAAAACAACAACTGGGATGCCAGTCATTTCACAAAGGGAGAGTTCTTAGAAGAACGGATGCCACCTGCTGGTATTTGTTTCCTGGATTTTGATGTATTTTTTTCCCTGTATCATTTTGGTGATATTTGTTGCTTTTGAGATCTGTCGATTATTAGTTGTTGGTTCATCACCAAGGTCCTTATATTGGGCTTCGAAATTTCCACCCAAGCCTAATACGCTGGTGCCTAATGCATGTGGTGCACTTGGGTATTCTTTTTGTTTGCAATGGATCAGGCCTGTCACTCACCTGGTAAGATTAAATTTTGTCTTGTTTTTGTTCGTCGCAATAGTGTCGAGAGGGCAAGGCACTTTGTTTAGCCTCGTCTGACACATGCTATATGCATCATGCATCATTACCCTTTGCAATGATCCTGCAGCCTTCCAAGGAATCTCCTCCTTCGATGTGGCTACTTTGGCAGCGATGGGGTTTCGGTGGCGATCAAGCTAGCTAGGGCCTTCGAAATGTTCAAAGCTTGGACATCAGCGAACAAGATTGAGTGTAGCCAGCCACCATTCACGGAGAGAATGGATCCTTGATCTGTCAAATTAAGTATTGTTTTGTCAGCTGAAGCGATCAACTTTGCAATGTTTGCAGCTTTATCTGGGACTGCCTATGTTGTTGTTGTTGTTCTGCTCACCCATATATATTAATTAAACCAATTGCCGGTGTTTTTGACGGAATCGTTCAACAATTTAACTTGCCCAGATCTTCAAGAAGAACTCTGACATTCTCTTTACAGCCAAAGCCTATAATGGCCGTGTGGTGTTGCATTGGTTATCTCATGAAGTGTATGTGGCAAGCACTTCGCCTGGCTTCGTAGCATGTGATCATCGATTCCCTGTCATTGCTGCTGCATTGACACTTTTTTCAAGTCAGTTTTGGTCAGAATTTTAGTTTTGTTGTCCGGGTCCCAATACACACCCATTCCGGCACCAAATGAAAACACTTCAGTTGAATCCCGTCGCTCCTTCCAAGGCTGCGCATGACCAGATTCCTGAGCGGGCTTGAGCAAGCGGGCCGTTATCTGAGACTTGGCAATTTGTGTGTGTGTGGGGGGCTGGGATCGTATGCAGCTACGATACTTAGCATTGTTGTATATTGTTGTCATGAAATGGTCCATCAATGTCAAAGACCAAAAGGATTGGAGTTTATCAGATTTGACCCTGAAGTGTTATATACGTACAGTATCATGCATAGTCATGATCGAAAACCCTTAGGACTGACGAAGAATCTCGGACCATTTTTGATGATGGCTGCCAGTTCCTGAAGCTCTACAAGCGCCTGACATATATGTCGTTGAGGCTCTGTGACTCCTTTCATACATGTCGATCAACTCAGTGCACACATCCCATGTTCAGTGGAACATTATGCACACAGCCATGCATGCAGCAAATCACTGCGTCCGGTCTTTCCTCCCAGATGATCTCACGCATCCAGGCTTGGAATTCAAGAGTGGTTTTTGCGACCGAAATGCCATGTGTCTTTGGATGCAAAGGGAATCTATTTTGCCCAGTGGTTCCCACCAAAGATGCACCCTCCCATATATGATACTGCACACGACATACACGTGTGATCTGTACGACCCTTTCCATCCCACTCAGGCATTGTGGCACCTTCTGGTCTGCATTCGGGACCGCAGAGCCTAGCCAAATTATTTTAAGTTTGAGACACGACGCCCATTTAGTCCCATGTCTCGTACGTAGCAGCTGAGGAAGCAACCCGCGGTTCTTTCATGGCTTCACAGATGAGGATGGAATGGCGTGGATCAAGAGTTGCTAGCTTCGCACCTATTGCGCGCTATACTATCGCTAGCTAATCCGGATCATGCATATGTGAACGATGTCTCTTAAGATCTTGTCATGAGAAGTCCAGATGGGTTCAAACAAGCGAAGTAGTCTTGTGAATGAAAGTCGATCAAGCCTGTATCCTAACTAACATGGATCCAGCTCTTTATGGGGCTGAGGCACCTATCTGAAGGCCCATCCTACGCGTGCCGTGCGCTGGATCATGCGTTGCGGAAAACTGAGGACTTTGATGCATGTGACATGTCGCTTACTAGATCGAGTTTTGACTTACATGTACTAGATAGTGGGAGCTAGCAAATGCCTTTGTTCAAACTCCAGGATTTGGTCATCTCATTTGAAGATCAAGCAGCTACTGGTCAGCAAGCCTGCCGGAGCAGATCATGCTGTCCAGTTTGGTTATTAAGGGAGCCTACTAGTTAAACTGCCATGTTTGCCTGGAGAGCTACTGGTTGGATTGTGTATAACCCGGCCTATTGTGCTCTCATGATTGCTCTTTAGCTCATCTTCTGCAATTGAGCCTCCGCTCTGAGGTTCAACAGGCATGTGGCGGCAAGACTTGCGCAAAAGCGCGGATGATCGTGTGTATGCAGTAGGGAGAAAAGAGCGTGGATGACTGTGATACGCAAAGATTGGCGTGAACCACTTTCCTACAAACAGACAAACGGGGTTCTATTAACGTCTTTTGTTTTCCATGTGGGTGGAAGGGCAGGGTATATACTATTTACTATATAATGTATGGTGAAAAAATGCCATTGTGGGGTGCCAAGCGGGCTTTGGCAAGGGTCACTCATCAAATTGTCAAATGTTCCAGGGCTTGGATTCCGAGGGAGGGAAGAATTCTCCACTCGGGACCCTCCAGTATTTGCATTCATCTTGGGGGTTCTTAGACCTGAAGAAGGGCGTCCCCAACGTTTTCAACTGAAATGACATGCATGTCATTTTTAATAGTGGACATTTGTCAATCTATCCGGATGAACTAGCGATGCGGCGCAAGTCAAGGATTAAAAATTGAAGCCATTGTGGGTTCCCCTCCTGAGCTGAATAGCAATATAAGAAAAACAGGTTCAGAATGACCGAATGACCCTTTCTCCCATGAATCCGTACTGTCAATGGCAGGATTCGACCCCTGCATTGTGGACTTGGCGTACTCGACAGAGTCACAGGATGTGTATCGAAATAGGGAGACCTCCCAAAGAACATTTGGGAAGGAACATCCATTGAGCATCCACCCATAGTTGGAGGATGTTGGAGGGTCTCTCCATTCTCATACCCACCCATTCTCCTTCGGGCTCTTCAGTCGTCCTTGCCGGTCGGTCGCCAAGTTCGGCCGTTCTGAGGTGCACTTCCTGCATAGCCTGGTGGTGCGTTGCAGCCGGAGACCCACCAAAGAAGCGCTGTGAAGTCAGAAGAAGCAGTGGAAGAAACGAAGAGATGGAACGATGGAGAACTCTAACTGATATAACTGATCCGAGATGATCCGAGTTTCAAGCTGATGAACATTTTTGCGAAGCAAGCATCACTTCGAAACCAATAGAAAATCTACGTTTGATTTGTTTTGTGAAAGGCATTGTTATTGTACGCGTAAGCTCTCCAATCAATCATGCTATTGGAGCCCAGGATCTACCCAGAAAAAAAAAAACAAAAAACATAACAATTAAAACATCGACCCTTAAACAGATCCACTACACAGACTGCAGAATCTGAACTCACATGTCGAGCTCGGTGGTGGCTGTTTTGCTTCGACATCTCTCCAGCCAGAGCGGACGACTTCCCAAGGTCAAGATTATGGGAAGACACTGCCACTGCCCGTCAGGAACTTAGGAGTTCTCACATCCTCAAAATTCAGCAGAAAAATCCAGAAGCCGCACCAGGGTCACCATTGTTTTTGGCCCACGAATGCGGTTCGTGTTCGTGGAACACGATTCGGATCCTCCACGACTGGGACGGTGTGTTTGGATCGGGTCAGGGAGGAACACATCAAAATCACCGGCGCTCGGCCCGTCATTTTTCCCAGTTTAATCGAACCATCGATCGGTCATGTTTTGCATCATAACTAGTTGTTCGGAAAAGCATCGATCGGAGTTGTCCTGGTCTTCTTACCTAATTATAAGCAATATAAGCATCCTTTTCGCAGAGAGGTCATAACATGTCATAACCCTTGGGAAACTCCTGAATCCCATTCGACGACTGAGTTGCACAACTCAAGGCAAATTCCAATCAGAGTTCCCTTTGAGGGCTCTTGACTCTTCTTCCTTTCATCAACCTGCGATTGTTTGGTGAAGGACTGAGACACATCGATGGAAACGTTCAAAGCTAGTGCCGCAAAGCGAACTTCGCTGCCGAACGCAAGGGGAACAAGAAAGGTGAAGAGGATCGACAAAGAGGACATCATTGCGGACACTGTGCGTTTCAGACTTCCCAGAGACTGATTCCAAGGACTGTGCGTTTCACGGGTAGTGGTCAAGGACAAATTACACTTGCATGGACCAGAGCGTTGGTAAGGTTGATCATGGTTCTACACGCAGCTGGCCGCCAGCAAGGTTTGTTTACGTCGCTCCAACCACCGACCGGCCACCGGGGGTGCCGGTTCATCGGATACTTCCGCCGGCACAACCTCAGGCCCTACAGCGCACTCTGGGCTTCTCGGAACTCAGTGGCATTCAGGCTCGGAGCCACGAGACTCCGCCCAGAGCTGACGAGCTCAGCCATCAACTGGTGGCGCTGCAAAACCGCATATGCGTCGGTGGGCGTCTAGGTGGGCGTATTTTGGAGTTGGAACCGCCACCAATGCTCTTAGCAGTTGACGTGTTCCATCCGAATTGGCCAGATCTCACTATTGTGATGAAACGATACGTTGCCTTAATTTCAACAACTGGTAGAAGACTGCCTGTCTAGATGAATCCGGAACAAACCGTCGGGATCTTCCTCCGCTACCAGTCGTTGGGGAATTCATCCTCCGGAGGTGGTCGGAAGTGGAAACACGTGTTGTCAGCACCTGAGAACTGTTTAGGACAATCTTTTCGCTTCCAACCTAGTAGCTTCTTGCTACTAGTAGTAATGGCCTCCAACTCCAACCTACTTGCGATGGCCTCCACCTATTAGCGTCCTTGCTACTAACGGTCTTTTAAAACAACCCCATCATGAGCAGAGTAAGACCGAGCTGTTTGATAACCAATAGTGGAACCAAGCACGAACTCAAGTTTGACAACCAGGACCATGGTTGTGATTCACCACAAGAGATTGATCAGTCACTAAAGGAGGGATTGGAATCAGTCCTCGTTCAAAAAGGCAGATCTGCAGATCTTTTCACGCTTCGGAACCCGACCTTGCTGGCCTTTCCGGGAAAGGTCAGCCCGTCTCCCCCCGCCCACCCCTCGAAGCGCGAACGGAATCGGACCTCGTCAGGCCCTGGAGGAGCTCTTGGAGAGCCCGGAAAGCCCAGTGAAGACCCTCCCGTTCTGAACCGCGAATTGACGGTGACAACGTGCGACCGACCATCGCAGAGGGACTAGGTAGATGTGGGTAGATCGGATCTCAGCTGCGTTGGGTAGAAGTGTGATTGCTTTTTGATGCTTTTTGGCTTGAACATGCTTGAACTGTGTCTAAAACGTATGCACTTGTGCTTTTATAGCACAATAGCTACAAGAGCTGAGGAAATGTGTGTTTGTTTTTTGACACGTTAGGAGTCTCCAGGTGGATCGAGACCATTGTAAAACGCAAGAGGACTCAAACGGATCTTTGGGTGTTTCTCATGTCACCTCGGATAGCTCTGTGGATTTGACGAAGTCGGCAAGGCATGGTGTGGCCCTGGTATAGTCATGATCTAAGCACTTGGTCGTGGATTTGCTATAACACCCCCACCTACATATGACCACTGGCCCACATGAGAGGTTTTAATATGTTTTATAATCATGGCATACACATGTACGTAACAGTGGATCCAAGCCTATAGTCAACAAATACATTAACATTCGCAGGTAGGCTATTGGGGTGTACATGTGCGGTAGAGTCTGGGTAGAGGCTCCGAACTTTTCGGCTTGTTGATCTATATATAATTTGTAATAGTAGATTGCATTTTGATTTCTCCATTGGATTCTCCAGATGCAGAATTTTAGGGTTCTCCTCCATTTTGGCTTCTCCAATGGATTCTCACTTATCTGCAGGTTTTAGGATTCTCCAGATGCGGGGCATTCCTCTTGCGCCACTGCAGGTCCCGAAAAAGCCCCGAGAACGAACGACCCTCGATAGAGACCGAAACGAATGAACGAATCGGAGCGTCCAGCAATGGCTTTGTTCTTCACAGAAGGCCACAACTACACAGAACTGTCAACTTTAGCAGTTGATCACATCAACTGCAGAATGGGCAGGTCAGAACCAAAGAACTCCAACAGAAACAGCAAAACAAATCGACACTGAGCATGGAAACATCATGGTTCGAGCAACAACAGCCACCTTTGGGCGCTTGCTCAGGTGGCTTGGGCCGCTCGGGAGTGGCGCGCTTGGTGGCCACTGGAGCTGCAGAAGAACCGGGGATGGGTGGCTTCCACTGTAGACATGCTGATGAATGAACCTCCTAAGGCCTGGAGATCGGAGGGGCTTTATGAATCAACAGTCTATGTGTAGTGACATGATTCTGGAGAGTATGGAAGACCAGCCACTGCCATCACCAATGCTTCAGACCCCTTCCATCGGGTCCAAACGACTATAGCCTTCCAACGAGTGTAGCCGGACCGACCGGACCTGGGAGTTTCCGGGACACGGCCATGACGTTGGGTTCGATCCGGAAAGACCCAAATAAATAAGTGGCGCAACCACGCAAAGAAGGCCAGTTTTTTCCGAGTGACCCTGTATCTCTCCGTGCCAGGCGAATTGCCAGTGACTTGTTTGGTTGTGGAGGACACGAAGACATGCAGCTCAACATGGGTGTGTATTGACATACGGAGACCCTCCAACCAATGCGTTTTGCAGCTTTGCTTGTTGTCATGGTTTCAGCCAACTGCCAATTCCCAGCATTCGCCCAACCAATATTATTGTTGGTCTATCTATATAATATAGAGTCTATTGTCTTGTAGGGCCTCGGTGGGAGGTCTCCAAGCAGTTTAAATATATATGTTTAAATCCACACCGTCATTGTCATTGTCTTGCTCTTGCCACTCACTCGAGTGGGCAGTCCGACCAAAGGATATAGATCTATAGAAACTTACTGATTGCCAGCGCAGCTGGTGGCATGGTCTTCTACCACCAAATATTGAAGTCTGGATTTCATACCTCCAAGTGCTTCGCTAGTAGGTTGGAGGCCATCACTAGTAGTTTTTTTTTTTTTCCAGATGATGCTGATACTCCATGGTGAATATACTCTAAGTTCTTCATATGTGGCACAACGGTCCCACGGGTGAGATCCACATCGATCTTTCGTGGGTTTCGATCTGGCTGCTTTTGATTTGGAACTAACGGCAATTGATTGAAAGTAACAGACACCGGAGGATACCATGTTTTCCATAATTGGAACTTCCTTGTCTTAGTTTCTTCTGCACACTTTGATTCTTTCTTCTGCTTTCGGTTTGCAGAGCGATACGGAAGCGGTAAGAGTTCCTGCTGTGGTCAGTTCACTTCAGCCATGGCCATCGACAGCGGAAAAGGGTTTCTCCAGCCACGTTTGCTGTTTTGGCGCGTCAAACAACCTGCCCAACATGTATGTAGTTAGATCCCAAAACGGGATATGATAGACCTACTTGATCAAGCAGCAAATAACCCACACAGAAGGCAACAGACTCGCACCAGATACCACAGATACGCGGCCTCTTTGGTATCTTCGGTCCTGATCGCGCAATCGATGCCATGGGAAAAGCGTTCTCATGCCGTACAGCGAGCGATGCCTTCGATGTGGAGAACACCTTCGGTGTCAGCAGTGCCGAGACCTATCGCTGCCAGCTGAAGCGTACCAGGAGCGATACGCCATGGCAAATGAAGCTGGCCATTCATCGTGAGATCGAAGGCGCTTCGAGTTTTGGAGTGTCAATACAAAGGGGTGAATGATGATCTAGTCTATATGTCATATATTAATTAACAATAAATTAACATATATCAAAATCACAGTCAAGTTAAGTTGTGCCCCAGTGACGGTTCATGGCAAGACATGGCAAGGATGAACCTGTTTTTGCGGCTTGATTGGGGTTGGAGATGGGTGGAGTTGCTGTGCCACATTCGACATACCACCCCTTTCATCATACACTTGCAGTTTGTTCCCACTCCGGTGACGATCACCAAGCCCCCGCCCCCCATATATGAGGCTTCTTGATCACGGAGACGAAACAGTCCTTGGCCGTGAAGACATGGAATGATGCGAATCCCAGGAGTTCCATCAAAGCGGGCCATGTGATCCTCGAGATCAACGGCTTCACAGATCATGCGAACATGAAGGTGCTGAGTCACGGGAAACGACGGAAACGACGGAAACGACGTCGGTGTACGTGACCGGTGAACGACGGGGACGGTGGCGACGGTGGTCGAAGCCAGACATGGCTGGAGAGGAAAAGGCTATTGAGGCTATTGGTGCATGGTCTCCAAACATGGAGTCGTGTGGGTTGAACTTGAACGTACAAGATGGACTTCCGGTTCCAACATGTTCCAACCACCATTATTCAGCTCTACTATAGTCATCACCACTGTTTGACTACGGATGTTACGCTTCAAACCGGGTCAATCGTTGTTTTTGGGACCGTGCTTCAAACCGGGACACCAACCCGGTGTCTTTTTTTATGACCGATCCGAGGGGAGACAGGCACCCGGAGGAGAACCAGTTGCCAAAAAAAACATAAGAAACCCATTGGATCATTGGTTTGGGGGCCCAGTTTGAATGACGATCACGCATTTCGTGTTTAAAAAGAGTTAAATGAAGGCTTGCCCAGATCGAAGTCGATCGGAGTCGATCTTATAGTCCCCAACGGTTCATCGACGGTTGTAGCCTGGGTTGTTTCGGCCAATCAAGTAAGCTGCGGTTCCAATTTCCGTCCACAGAATAGGAAGGTGATTCCCTCACCCCACCCCACCCCACCCATGATACTGGTGATGCTGTTGTCGTTGCAAGTGAATTTTAAAAACATTGTGCTCAGCGTCGTCGCAAGTGATGTGAAAAGTGTCGTCGCAAGTGAGTGGTGGACCGAATAGGAACCATCCAACCTGATGCCCTGAGAGCTGCACCGGAAGCTCAGCACGAACGAAGTGAGATTAAAGAAGGACGAATTAGCGAAAGCCGGAATTGATCCCAAACAAGAAAAAGGACGACGCACAAGATTACAAGAACCACCCGGGCCCTTGGAAGAGTCACACAACTAAATGGAAGCATCAACGCACAAGTAAGTGACTCTGTGAGATGAGAGAGGCTTGGAATAAAACCGACGAAGCCAGCAAGCTTGCCAAAATGCAACTCACGAAGGTTGGCGCAGTGAGGATAAGAAGCAAATTGACCGCTGACCAAACCTTCGGAACCCAACTTTGATCTGCAGTTAAGGTGAAATTGAAGAGGTCACATCCGGAACATTCCACTCAGGTAAACCGGGGTTGGACCCAACAAAATCGAAGAACACAAGTACTCAGGGAATCTTTGGTCCTTCGAGAACGAACTCAATTGCCACATCCTGAAGATATTTGGTCAAGGCATTAAAATACTCCATAGAGTAATGCGAAAGCCTGGTTCGAGCACTCTGCTGATCCAGCTAAGGGAAGATATGAGGATTGGCAACAAAACTTGAAACAAATTGAACCATCCAGATAGATTTCCAGTTTTACAATCCCAATAAGTCCAATGACCCACCTAACCTAGAGGAACTAGGTCATTTGGACTCCGCAAAATAGGTTGTTTAGCACAATTTATGCATAAGAATCATAAGTCGTGCGTTTCAGTTTAAGTCATGTTGTTCCTCAAGCTCCTGTTGGCATCCCCAAAACTAGCCACTGCAAGAGGCAGAGGTACTATCATTAGTCTTTGTTATTATGGTTATTTTTTATGGCCAACCTGAATTAGTGGGTTGCTATGTTGCTCAGGGTAGGGCCTGTCACATATCATAGGGAACTCGCGCGCACTCTTCTTTTGAAACTCCCGCGACGAGTCGCCACAGGAACAGATCCTGCAAGCGACTTCGATTGACATGTGCATTTGCTCTGTCCTCACAGTCCTTCAGCAAGTGGCCTATGAGGTCTTTGAGCAGCAGCAGAGTCTCTACGCTGCAGTGGATGCCATCGTCCAACCGGTGGACGTGACGGATTTGGCCGAAGGATGCTCGATTTGCCACCAGGATCTGGATGCCCGCGTGCCTCGTCTGAAGAACTGTGCACGGCCATCACGACCTCCTGCTGCAGCAGACTGAACGACGAAGCGTGGTCCGGAACATAGGCGACGTAGGGGTTGGAGACACGTCATGGACTCGGCGCGCTACGCTAGCTCTAGCTGTTCTTAGAGGGTCACCTTTTGCGTTATGTTGCCACGCGGAACAGGGGAGAACACTCCATGTATGGATTTGATACCCATGGACTCCGTTTCAACCAGTCCAGAACCAGAGTGTCAGCGGCAAAACATCAGCAAACAAACCAGAGGGAATTGCAAAGGTTGCCCAAAATACGCAGAGCTGAGGTGGTGCGTTTGCCTTGTGGTCATGACTATCATGACTTTTGCATCAAGAAGTGGTTCACCACCGGCAATCACAGATGCCCTTTGTGCAATCATCATCTCCAAATTGATCCTGCATGAGTAGACAAGTCTTCACTTTTCAACATGAACAGGGTTCCTTTGCAGACGGCAGATCTCTATGTAAGATCAACAACAACATGCTGCCATCAAAGTCGGAACCCTCGCTTGGTCGTGCTTGGGTCTGTGCCTGTGCGTGGGCCTCTCTGTAGTCGGAACCTGCCTTTTTTTGGCAGAGCCGTCTTGGCTGAGGACTTTTGGATAAAGCTCTGAAATGAACATGGCTTCATTGATCCTGTGTTCTTTTAATCGGGGTATCAAATTGTACGGCGATGTAACCTGCCCGGAGAGGGACAGCGAAAAAAGGTGCTTTCGGATCTTTCGGCTCGGACAGCCGGAACTTTGGCCGGAGCCTCTCTTGGGTTTCCAACGTGATCCCAGACGTTGAGCCTGGTGTTCTCACATCACCAGATGTCCATATTTTAGCACAAAACCAGTTCCGTCGTCCGGAAACAACTGGCCAAGGTGCTGGGACCAAACTTGTTGATTCATATGGGTGTTTCTTCCTTTTGTTGAAGAAACCAACTGCCAAGAACGAATCTGGGCGACCATCCAGCACCAGCTTGTTCCGTTTCCAGGAGATTGAGTGGTCCGGGGTTTCTGCTCGAACATGAGGAGATTGCCCTGGCTCCAAGAGCGACCCATGGCCTTTTCGTCTCTTTCAGGGTCTGGCACCAAGTCTGAAGAAACCACTTTTGGTGGACAGGCAGTGCCAGCTCTGGAGTCGAAGACGACGACTGCCGTCCGTCGTCTGACGTCGTCTGACGTGATCTGGGCCACCAGGAGCGGACGTTGACGGCTTAGCCGTGGTGACAGCCTATGACCGTCGACAGGTTTCATTCCCTCAGGGATGTCAGCAGGAACCATTATATAGATATTCCTCAACATGACAGGTAGTTATTATATATACCCAGGGTGTGTCCCATTACCAGCAACAGAATAGGACTCTTTTTGGGAAAGGCTTTGACCATCATGATCCACTGTTACGGGCAGTGGAATATAATCCCACAGTTGTTTCTAACTCACCCCAATTCCACCTTGTCGTGGTGTATTTGGGCTATATGTTTAAACGCTATTGGGGTACGTATGGTTTGGTTAGGTGAGGTCCTCCTCTCGATGGGTGCTTGAGTCCCAGCCACACAGGAAAAACGATACATCTTCGGACACCCACGTGCCACTGGTTTGTAGAAGGATCTTTTTTGGCAGGGTCGAGTTGTGGTTTCCCTTTTCCGTGTCACGTCTTCTTGTTGTATTGTTATTGTTTAAAACCTGTTTGATGTAAACAAGGATTTCAGCCAGTCCTGGTGTAGTCCTGCGTCCGATCCGGTGAGTCGGATTCTGAGCGAAGAATCCATGGCAAAGTTCCATAGATCGTTTCAAAGTAGTATCCTATAATACCCTGTAAAGTTTCTATTGGGGAACCACTTTATAAAGATAGGAACGGAGTGCAGGTAAAATACAATTGTTGAAGGTTTGATTCACCTCCAGATGCCAGTGATCCCCTTCCACAAAAACATTCCATTTGCACTCACATTGGATGTTTCTTACCCTAGAGGAATCCCCTATTAGTTATATAGGTATGTTTAAGTAATATATATAACTATATATATACAGCTAATAACTATATAATGACCTTGCTTGTCAGTTTGTCGTTTTCAACAAGCACTTCCCTTTCAGAAGTCAGTGAACAGCATCTGGACATTTGGAAGAACAACACTCCCTGCCACAAAACATTGAAGTGAACAACCCCCTGTTAGGCAGAACATGTCATGGTCTTTCCCATGTCTTCCGCTTTCGTTTTCAGCTGAGTGCACAAAAACCCGTCAGCTGTGGCCCATCAGAGCGCGTGCAAAACCTGAAGTTCCTCCTGCGCAAAACCCGAAAAGACCTGTGACCTTGGCGCACTGGGAGGGCGAGCTGACTTCCTGTCGGGGTCGGTCAGAGCGGTGTTGACGCTCGAAAAAATCATGGAACCCCTGGAAAGACCATGACATCCTCTACAAACAGGGGATGAACTCCACGTCCATGTTGGCAGGGAGTCATACGTTCCAAGGCCGAAAGAAATGAAGCTGTCAAGACCTGAAGGCTGCCAGGGTGCAAAGATCCACCTTCTAAAGTTTGTTGTTTGTTTCGACTAATTCAGAGTCGTAAATTTGTTTGTCGCACTCTCCTTGTAACAGTTGGTCAATTGTTCTTTTGTTGCTTCCCGCAGATTTTGCCCATGCCGCACTATGCCTCTTTTTGGCCCCCAAAAGAAAGAGTGGGAGGTTTACCAAACGCCAAACACAGAGACTTTGATTTCTTCTTGCGGAGCTGTCGGAGATTTTCTCCGATCCACCTGACATGGTCAGCTGTCGCGGATCCATATATAGTACATAGGAGCCAATTGCATTCAGAAATGCGGAGCCGTGCTCCGCACCATGTGGTTCGGTTACTGTACCTATCCGTACCTCATAGGATGACCATCCAAGCTGGATGGTCTAAACAAGTTTAAAAACACAAAAAGAACAGAACCCTCAGAAGGTCGCAGGCACCTGGACGAACCCTCAACCTTCACCCCAGAACCCTCTTCCGGGAAGCAGGGAAGCCTGTCTTCCGTGGCCGGTGACGAATCACAGGACTTCTTATGGTTGTTCGGTGGTGTTCAGTCATTTCTCGTGGGAAATGAGCGGACTTGCTCCGAACATCGGGCAGGGTTGGAACATCGGAGATGCAGACATGACTCTCATTTCGATGGGCCAATGACTGGTCTGCTTTTAAAGAAGTTGATAAGTTGATTTCCAAAAAATATTGCATAGGTGCTGACAGACAGGCAAACCCTCGTTACTCCAATCCAGTCCAGTCCAGCCCACTCCACCACACTCCACCATTCCCAATTCAATTGGGTCACATCTCTCAAATATCTTTTCAAAGACCCCACCAGTCAGGACCTTATAATAATAACAATCACTTTGGAGCTTGCACTCCAACCCGCTCGATTCCACTCCATCCACTTCAACCGCAGGTGACAACCTCTGGAGGTACCCACAGAGCCACTGATCCGGAAAAAAAATATTTGGTGCTTTTAAGGAAAGCTGTGATCTACCAGGTTGCGACGGTCGCAGTCTGGTAGAACCATCGCTAGCGGTAGTGAGACGCACAGCGGGGTCATGATTTCACTGGACCTGGTTCAAAAGACTGTCCTTCGCAACAAGTGACTGCGACCGTCGCTACTTTGAGGGTGCTCCAGCAAAATCAAAATCCCACTAGAGCAATCGCTAGCGGTAGTGATGGTTGTAAGGGCTTGCGACGCTCGCCACTTGGTAGATCACAGTCTTCCTGAAAAACATCAAATATTGTTCTGATTGCCGGGCCCACCAAGTGATGCTGTACGTCGTGACTACTTGATATTTATCTGTTTCCAACAGCCACAGACCATCCAAGATGGTGTTCACCTCAGGGTTCCAGCTATTAAATCTGACTCTTTGCAAATGAGGCCATTGCTATTAGGATCGAGGCTTCTGAATAACAACTAAAAACTTATCAACTTCAACCTTATTAGTGGTGGAGTGGAGTAACGAGGGTTTGCCTGTCTGTCAGCACCTAGTCAGCACCTATGCAATATTTGTCGAAATCAACCTATCAACTTCTTTAAAAGCAGACCAGATGATTGGTATAAGAACCATGTACGTATAGAAAGATTCAGATCATAAATGGTTGTGCGACACAGCAGACTCTAAGCAATGCCCGGGTTGTTAATAGCATAAAGATGCATAAAGGTTAAGATACAAATTTAATGGTGTGTGATGGAATAATTCTCCCGTCCTATGTTGCAGGAGGTGACCTTGGATGGAAAAGCTCCCCGGAATGCAGCCCTCAACATCTTTTCACATGTCGACCATTCCCAGAACATCCATGTTCTGTCCCTAACGTAAGCAACTATTCCATACTTGGATGGTCTGGGTTTGGCTCAATACAGCTGCCGAACGGCTTCTGCAGCGTTGCGGCCCAACCGCTCCACTCGCCCCGAACCGTCATGGCGGCGCACCGCGGCAGAACCGCTACGCGTCGCGGTGTCGCACCGCGCCGTGCGGCGACGCTGCTGGCCGGCGCAGCGCTGGTCGTGGCACTGCGCAGTCGAGCCTTCGCTGTGGCTGAATGTGGGGCGAGCGCTCAGAACGAGTGTGAAGGTGGGAATGGAATGGATGTGGTTTGTGGGTGGCAAACAGAACGTTATATACTTAGGGGTCACATAATCACGACATACCTTCGGTTAGGGATGTCTAACGACCTATACTTCTAAACGCAGAAGATATGTGGATCCACGCAAAATTTAAACATGGGAGTCAGTGTTTCAACACAGGCTAGTGAAGTGTGTTTGCCCACACCTGCGTTTTTTGTTTGAGAACACTAACAGCAAACCCTGTGAATTGACTGGACAGTCATGTCCAGTGTCCGAGACCGGAGCAGCCGCCGGCAAGTGCTGCAGAGCTCGTTGGCGGCAATGAGCCTGGAAAGTGCTTTGGCACCTGCCTGGGCGGCAGAGGAGAAGGACGTGGTCTTGAACAATGGGCCACTCAGCCGCAAAGAGCGGATGCAAATCGCCGGTGGCAGTTCCGCGAGTTTCTTCTGCGGCGTTCGGGGCCCTTCCCAGACCACCCTTTTTACCAGATAGCATTTCGATGCATTTCGGTCCTGCCAACAATCAGGACGACTGCCAGACCACCCAGCAACCAAAGGGCCAAAGAAGCAGCAAAACTTTGAGAGGTTTGTTTGGTGACTGCCATGACTACTCAATTTTCTGGAAGTACATTTTGCTCGGAGGAACCCTGCACTTGACATCAGCAGACGGATTTTTGTCGGGGCTTCTTTGGGGTCAAAGGCTGAGACCGACGGAAGCAAGAGTGCCGACCTAGACGGAACCGGGATGCCCAGGCTAGCAGGTCCGACGTGGAAGAGGTCAAACACCATCCTCGACCCCAGAGCCAAGTGCATGTTCATCAACCCGGAAACCTTCGTCTAAGTCGGCCAAGACCATCCAAAATCATCCAAGAGTCGTCCAAGAGTCGATCACTCGACCACCCCTGTCACTGAGGTTGAAGTTCCCCAAGGCGCCACTGACAAACGAACGCGTGGGCCGCGTGGACGTTGGCGTGGACTGGGACTTCCACACGGCTCACGGCTGGGATTTGGGAGGGGAAGTGACGGAGCTTGGATCGATGGTCTCCGACGGGAAATGGATGGAAATGGTATAGGCAAAAGTGTAGCGTTTGCACCAAAACCAGTACCCAGAGAGATCTAGGGGTCCATGCGGGTCCCACTAAGAAGGTATGTTAATGTATGTTATGTGGATCCCTAAAACCCTAGGGTTCTGGGAGTGGTTCTAGGGTATGATGATGTAGGAAGTGGTTGAAGCACTGAGCTGGAGTTTCGTTCTACCATGCATTGTTTAATTAGTGAAAGGCATCGGCCGCCGGCCCGATTGCCGGAAAACGTGTTATGCAAACATGTTTATATAAGTTAATCGTCCATATCCATGTTTGAAGGTACATAGCTATTAACAGTACTATTAACTATGAGTCATCGTCACCACTGGTCATCCTCATTGTACGTTGTCACTTGGTTATGTAACCCGTTGGCAGGCAACATGTGTGCTTGTCACTACCGGGCATCGTTTCTTTTCCCGGACCGTCCGGCTACGCCATGGGACCGTCCGGCTACGCCAGGTGTCCTTTGGTCTGCAGCCGGATGCCCAGAGCGTTGTTTCGGACCTGAGGAGGTAGTGATAGTCACCGACTAGTCAGTTGCGGCAACCGAATCAGAAGGATCTGACTAGATGTTGAAAGGATGTGTTCTCTTTCAAGAGCTGAATTGAGTCAGTTGTCTTGTATATGTGGATGTCAGAGGTACCGTATCTTTACTAGATGCTTAAAGGAATGAAAGAGACACCCTTGGCCGGGTCAGCTATTACCCTCCAAGCTACAAAGATCGTTACGTGTTATCCATGCTTTATCCATGGCCTTTAGGGAAGACAACATGTTTGCGTGGACAGTCCACTGCCATCGTTTACGTGTCCGTCGTCCCGGGTGGATCGGTCCCGGTCCCGGGTGGATCGTTTGGGGTGTGGAAAGCACCGGTCGATCGGTCGGTGCGGAGGCGACCACCTAGCAGTTGGTTTTGCCAAGAGTTTGAGGCAAGGAAAAAACACAAAAGAAGCACCAGCTCCCCTATAAGGGGTGGTGAATGGATACCCCTTAACCTCTAAGGGGAGCTATAATTAACATCCCTGAACGGGGGTCCTGGAGGATGAAACCGGGGAAACCATCGGGTAATCCACGAGTCCTGAGGATCTACAACGATGACACGGCCCAGCAGCTCACAGAGTTGAGCTTATCGTCCCGGCGGCTGAGAAGGGCAGCATTTCGTGATCACCGGCTGGGTGGAGTTTGTGAGGAATCCAGAATCCAATCCAGAGGGAACAATTCCAACATGTTCCAACTTTGGTTGGATTCCGGGAATCGTTCAAGTCTCTGAGAACAAGCTTAATTCTGATACCCTGTGCCCAGCAGGCCGCTTCCGAAACTTGTTGCTGACCTTTCATGGGCCTGGTGTTGACCCCGACGCACTCCCATGTAGGTCAACAATCGACATACCTATGCACAAATATGTGTTCTTAGTTTGACCGACCAGGTTTTCCATGAAATCAGAAACTGGTCAAACTGGACAGCAGGAGCTGCATTCAGCAGGGTGTAGGAAACTCGAGGGCTGTTGGATACATCGGAGACATCCACCTCATTCAGGGACACATGCGTTGAACTTGAGACTTTGAAATCGACTTCCTCGGCTCAACTACCAGGGCCCCCCGTTTTGGGGTGGTTCATGGATACCGGATACCGGAGCCCCTTCAAACACGGGGGCCCTGGTCTGGAACCCGGAACTCACCGAACGCCGAACGTTCCAGGTTGGGCTACCGAAACTTCTTCTCTTCAGTCCTTGTGCCTCGGTGGCGCTGGGCGCGATCACCTGTTTGGTGTTGAAGAACGGGAACATGGACCACCAAATCCCTTTCAATAGGGCGGATCAGACTTTTTGTTGTGTTGTACCCTCGTGAACCTAGGCCACACCTGTTTGAACCGTGAATTACCACATTTCCCAGTGACCTTTGGTTTGAGGTCACTGATCAGCTTGTGAGGTCACTGATCGGGACTGTCCAAAGGTCAGCCGTTGAGACTCCTCCCCCTGCCTGGTGGATCCGAACACGCCTAGACCGCATTAGTTTTTTTGGGGGGGTGGGGATTTTCAAGGGGAAGCATAAGAAGAAGCAACACAACGAGCACGTTTTGTGTCGTTTGTTAGGTTGCTCTTGCCTTGTGTGTCTGACACTTTAAAGCGTCATGTTGCAGTTTGTCGCAAACGTTCTGCGTCATTTTGGCGTGACGCGCTCTTGCCTTTGCATCAAGCTTTGCCTTGCAGCTGCCTTTTGACGTGCGCTGCCAAATGAATCTCCAGCTAAAGACCTTCCTTGCCCGTTTTCGCAATGACTCCTGATCAAGATCTGCATATCCTGCTGACAATGACGAAAAGGATCTCTTGGTGGTCGACGCAAGTCTGGCAACATCCTTCCTCCGACCTTGTATCCAGGCCTTGAGGCTTTTGGGCGCAAGCTTCATGCCCTTCCTCTTGGCAGCTTCTGACGCAAAATGAAATGAACCCTTTCGTGGAGGTTGAAAGCCACAGCACCAAATCTGCATTGCCCTATTGCAAGTTTCTTCTTGAACTCCACCGGTTTCCTGGGCTGTCCGTCATTGTCACATTGTTAGTCACTGTCAGTCAATGTCATCATTATTGTCCATCAGCTGAGTTGCAACGGTTTGAGCTTATTATAACCAGTGATGTTACATGTTTGCCGGCGGGACAGACACAAAGACCACTTCAAAGGGCTCCAGACCCAAACACAAGTCCAAACCAGGTACTCACGACGCTCACGCACTTCAAAACTCGCTTTCCGTTGCCCCTGTGCTGGAGGTCCCAGGCCTCACCGGGCGGTCTGAAGAGACCTTCCCACTGCTTGTTTGTTCCGAGATCCTGTCGCAGTCTCGGATAGAACCCCCACCAAGTGCCCTGAAACCAGATGTCATGGAAGATATACCACCCCCTTGACCTCTAAGGGCCTATTATATTACAGATACCGGCCCTTTGAAGGGTCCTAGTACTTAGTTGTAACAAACAAACATGTTATAATGACCCAGAGCGGCACTTTGCGTGTCACCTCCGCCATCCTCCGCCTGTCAACGGCAATTCATGGCCTTCTGAAGGAGCGATGGCCGTCCTCGGTCGGAAGACGCCGCGTCAGGCGGGCAACCAGCCGGGCTTCGCCAAAGGCCTCAAAGCCTCAGGCCTCGCGGTGTTGGTCGTACTCCCCAGGGTCCACTGGTTTGGAGGAAAGAAGAGATGCCAAGAGATGCCGGGTTCTCCTAAAAAGCCACCACTCCAACTGATTGTGAGTCATGAGTCATAAGATATACCTGGAACTTCCTCAGCTTGTTTTTTGTTTGTTTTGTTTTTTTGTTGATCTGCAGTGTGAAAAACATCTTTTGGAGTCACAGCCATGAGTCTGCGGATGTTTCTCTAGTTTTCTGATTGTTTCTGATATTCCACGCGCGTTTATACACAAGCTAAGGGCGTTTATTGGTGAGCCAGAGGCTTTTTTTCTCGAACATGTTTTAAGCGGATGTTTATATCCGTTGGGGATGTTTATGTGGTTCACAGACCTAAATAAAGGTATGTTGAACCACCGACCAATAAAAAGCAACCACGAGGTTGCAGGTATATGCTAGTTCCAAAGGGAGTGTCTGTTTGGGACTGTTCTTGAGTGGTTTCAATGACGACATCGGGGAACCTCCAAAGTTTCTTCTTGCATTGAACTTACTAAGAAGCATGGGATCAGCAATTGATTCTTACACCCAGATCCGGAGAATTCACACTGGTGGTGATGGTTGAAGACTTTGGATTTCATTTGGGTGTGGGTCACTAGATGTTCGGGATGTTTCTTCAGTTTTCATGGTTGGGCTAGAGCTGGTTTTCACAGTGTGAACACCTTCATCCTTCCCATGAGCACCCCATACAAGCTACTGGCAACATTTTAAGGACATTATGACATGACGCGATTGGTGACCGTGTTGACTCTCCCCTTACGGCCCACCAGTGAAGACGGACGGTCTCCCAGCTCAGCCGGAAAAAACGCGCGAACGTAACGCCGCTCCGGACCGCAGGCGTTCCGAGGGATGAGGTCTTCGTGTGCGGCTCAGTGGTGAGCAACCGCGCTCGAGGCGCGGCCTGGGGGTCGAACGAGTCGCGGGCGGCCAGGGGTTGACCGTGCAAGGTGCGCCGTTGGGCCGTGCATACAGTGCTTGGTTTGGGGGTGTGGGTTCCGTCGGAGCCAGCATTTGGGGGTCAAGGAGGGTCAAGGGTGAAAAGATGTCCAAAGCCTTTAAAGGATCTTGCTCCAACAGACTTTGCCAAAAGGCCCTTAGTATCGCCTTGTGGTTTGTAAGGGCACTTTGAACTCTGAATTCCCACCCTGTCATATATGTTCCATCTTTTTGTTTGAAGGGTATCAGGGAGCATCAAACGAGCAGGGGACGACTGATGTTCTTATTGGGATTGGAAAAGATTCGCCAATCGGAGTGGACTCGAGTGGTCACTCTGGGGGGCCGACGCATTCGGAACTAAGCCACATTCACTGAGGCTTCAAGCCTGCATACTTGGCCACCAAGCGTGGAATCTCACAGAACTTGGCAGCCTTTCAGCAGGGAGGCCTCACCTACGTCGACACTTGGCGGGAGGCCGTTAATTCTCGGAGTGCTTTAAGTTTCGATTCCAATTTTTGGGGTAAAGCTGGCCGCCCTCCAAGAACCATGAAAATTGGAACTCCTGCCATGAGAGACTCTTCTATAGGTTATGGTTTTCGGATATGTTCAACCTTGGGATGAAGGATTGACTTATTGTTCAAGGTGAATTGGAACCACCAGTCTTCCCTTTTGTCTAAAAGCTTGTTGGTGACTGATAAGACTGTATTGCTTTTTGTTTATCCGTGTTCCTCCTGATTTAGATATACCCAATCCAGGAGCCAGGGCTAAGTCTGTTTGCAGAGCAGACTTCTTATACATGGGAAAAAAAGATTAGTTTGCTCTTCCAGGCCCCTAGGATACGCACCTCCCAGGATATGATGATGCTGGACTACCCAGGAGACTTTGGTCGAGGTTACGGTCAGCATTGCGGATGTCGTGATGGAACATGGAGATTGACATCGGTTTTTAATGTTGTGTTGATCATCGCTTACCCCACTACGTAGCTACAGCAGTTTGCCAAGCCACACGAAACACAGCTAAGCGATTTAGCTGATGTGAGTTCTGCGGATTCCTTTTACTCCACTTCTGTAGCAAGCCGGGAATCCGCAGAACACCGCACTGCGGCGCTGCGGCGCCGGCAGGACCTGACTGCGAGTCCATTAAGGGCCAATGGGAAGCCTTCGAAGAGATGCTTGCCTCGGGGAAGACCAAGAGCTTGGCGGCGCCTTGGCGTTTTTGAGCTTGGCGCCTTGGTGGGACGTGACGTGACGTGGTGGAGACATTGCTATCAATCTTTGTGAGAACAGGTGAGTGATAATGATCAATAATGATCATAACTGTAGCAAAGACCATCCAACCCTAGCGCAGGTAAGGACCCCAAGACCTCTTGAGATAGATATACCGATATACCTCCTTTCTTTCCCATGTCCGAGCGGAAACATCAGTCAGACGGAAGGGTTGAAGATCCCACCGTCCGATCCCACCTTGACGATCCCGCGCTTCCAGGTGAGCAATTTTTCGCCGGAACAGCTGGACTGCATTTTGTCCAACCAGACCGCCACGCGCCTTGGGTCCGCATGGGAGAGGTTCGGACGGTGGACCGGTGGACCGGACTGACCGGGCAGCCCAGGTTTTTGCGAGTGCTGCTTTAACATCTCGATGTCCAAGTGCACAGTGCTTACATCCCCTATACACTATACACGCAGCTACGTCCCAAATGTTTAAGTTTAAAGTGATGGTGTCCCTTTCAAAAGCCGCTACTGTTAGCTTTTGAGCTGAGCTGTACACAGTAACTTGTGACAGCCTCTTGCAACATTGGGGTTCATGGTTTCTTGACATCCTTCGTTCCTTTCGGTATTATTTTGCTGGTGTTCTCTCCCCCCAAAACCACCAGAACAAGGACCAGTTCGGCGAACACTTCTGAGGAAGCCCGCCGTGAATCAGCTGCCCTACTCGATCAGCTATGCGGAGCCGCAGATCTTAGAGGATCGCTGATCGTTCGACCGTGGCGTTCCATCGACGTAACCGGTGTTGTTGGTGTTGGTCGTGTTATTTGTTTGAGAGTTGTTGTGGCAGACCATCAAGCGTTGTTTGTGAGTTTAAGGATGACCAGTGTGTTTGTTGTGATGAGATTGATATTATCAAGATTTAAAGGCTTTTTTTGAAAGTCGAGTATTGGCAATTGCCTCCCACCTTAAAAGACATCGTAAATAGGCCGTTGATTGTAAAGTCATGCAACGTATCCCGGGTAGTAATAAGTCAATATATATATATATTAAAGTAAATAATAAGTTGTTGTTTTCTGTGTAACATGCCAAAACCTCATCAGAGACATTGCAAAAGGTGGCCAAAGCAGTGGGAGAGACGATGTGGCCCCCTTGCATGGTTTGGGTATCGAAAAGGGTAATGTCACTTTGTCACCAATATGGTTGCTTTTTGGCTAGAACTCGCCACACGAAGGGCTGCGACATGAAAATCAATTCATGGCCTGTTAAAACACGGACCGTGTCAGGAGAATAAGAAACGCGGCATCCTGGTGCAAGCCTGGGCACCCCTGGGCGGCTCCACTGGAGGTACGAGACGCCGCTAACGGCGGAACCGCCCATTTTCAGCATTGTGGGTTAAGTTAAGCTTATGATAAAGTCGTACGATGGCTGTTTGGAATTCTTAGGGTTTGCTTTGGCTTAGTTTTAGATGATGACTCCCGACAGATGCTTCATGGTGAGTTTCCAACCAATTTGTTTTTGGTTCACTGAGACGGGGCGCTGGAGTTTCAGTTTGACTCCTGATTCGCTGGTTGGATCGATCTCGCAAGCAGGGCACCAAGGGAGTGTTGATTTTTAGACACTTCCATACCTGAAACTCTTCGGGGATTTTTAAGCGTACAAATGAAGGGGCAGCCTTCACCATGTTATCCATCTAGGACATACAATGACCCACTGACATGATGCATCTCATAGCTTAGTGCGGTTGCTCCAGGTATGCTAAAACCTCAAGTGGCCCATCTAATTGACTACAAGCATACAAAACGCTCGCAACACACACGCGCGCAAACGCACGCGGACATTGCCAACACCTACCCTATCACCTTGGTGACCAAATCTGCACCGTCATCAACCTCCAATGATAAGATTTTGTTGACGGCATGTGCCATCGGTGGATTTGCTGAACACACCACAACGATCCACGACGGCCAAAAACATGGTGTCTCGTCGTGTGGCTCCGTTGTTTGTTGGTCACCTGTAAGATCTAAAGAACCGAACCACTGAAATAGACAGTGGCTACAAGAACCACTAGAACCTGTAAGATCTAAGAAATGTGTTTGTTCTAAGAAGCACTGATCATGGTGTTTTTGTTGGAAACCCGACCTCACTTATATAATTAGTTCCTTTCTGCGATGCCGGGCGGTGTTTAGAGCATTTTGTGGCGGAGCGACCTTGTCAGGATTTGAAGGTGACCTTTTCAAGAGTCACTGTCAGAGTCCTAATATCATCCTATACCAGCACCACCCAAAGAGTGGTTTTTGGATGGGAAATCCATCTTCAGGGGGGGTCTATAAACCACCCATTGGCTGGTAGATTCCTATATATCAGCTTAAATTTGCTATAAGCAAGATTCAGTGACCTTACTAATGGTATCTCAAGTTCAGTCACTGCCAAGGTCCTCATAATCATCGCAGTTTTTGTTGTTTCCATGTGTTGTTTTGCTTTGACGGACACCTGAACTCCCAACAAATCGATGGCTCTAATCGGGTACGAACTCGTCCGTCTCGACCCCGTCAGGGATCTCCAAGAAAGCACAGACGCTGTGTGGAGAGATCGGGAAGAACTACGGGACGCACGGCTGGGCTTGGAAGTCGGAGCACGGCTGGTTCGGACGGAATCGAGAGATCGGTAAAGCCGTGCGAACGAGATCGGTTTATCCTTTTTCTTTTCAGCACGGCGGGTTTTTGCGGTGGCCTAGTGACCTAGTGACCACGGCCTGGGATTCTTCACGGTCAGGTCGCTGCCACCCTCGCACGGAGATGGAGCATCCGCTTGGTGGAGAAGCAGGTTTTCACGTCTGCGGGTGATGTCACCGACCGGTTCCCATGGGTTGTGGATCACAGTGACACTCACCACCAATCGTTGGCCGGACTACATGCGAAGAGGTCCCGGGATGGTTTCGGCTCTCCATTTAGAGCATCACCAGAGGATACCCGAGGTATGTGGCCCCAAGAAGGGAACTTGCTTCAGAATTGGGTGGATTTTTCCGATGTGATACCGGCTCCTTTGAGTGTTTTTTCCCTGATTTCAACTGAGGAAGTCTTGGGCACAAGTGGCTTTGCGCTGCCTGGATGCAGCTGAATCGGTTGATTTGGGAGGCTTATTCGGGTCGTATCGATCCTTGCCTTGGCTCCCCCTGCGAGTCTCCATGCAGTCACTAACTCAACTCGAAACGAGGCCCCAGACTGGGTCTTCGACTTCTTTGTACATCGAGCTCCGGATCGATCATCACTTGCCCAGTCCCGGCTCGCCGACGCTCGCCGACGTGCGAACACTTGCCCAGTCCCGGAGCTTCGACTCGGTTTGACCTATGACCTATTCCCAAACCATCTGTGCAAGGAATATGGCCTATTCCTTACACCTTTTCCAAGGCGTCATGTTCGGGACAGAACTTCAGTCCGATGCTGTGAGGCTCTGAGATTCTTGGAGGGTGTAAAAGCCTCCCTGATGGTCATGATCAAACATGCTCAATGGAAACACCTTGCTGGAGCTAAGGGGCTGGGACCGTCCATAGTCCCCTTTGATACAAAAGAAGCTACACGCATTTCGATATATATGCCATATGGGTATAGATGGTACTTTGTGGTGGGGTGTCAGTCAAATATGGTCGGGTATATTGAAGTGCTTAAATCTCTACAATTTGATCCGAATGGCTCTAGCAGACTCTAGCACAGTACAGAAATGACAAGGTTGTCCTTCTGAAGTTCTCAGTGTGCCGGGCGCCAAGCCACCGTGAGTTATGCCCTTGCCACAACAAATATCCATAGGGTACCATAATATGATTCCAAACAAAGGATCCGACCTGTGTTGTGTGCACAATTTCTTCACCATGGCTTAGACGGTCTAGACATGTCATGACAATTAATTCATGACATGTCCACATAGAGATCTATATAATTATACATATTGCTTTTATTGCAAGCACTGATTGCCTACATAGTGCACTAACTACAGATTGACTATATATAATGTCGACACCGGATAAATAACCCCCCCCTCAAGGCTTGCTGGGGTCAATCAGGAGACTTCACCACTATATAGTTCTCTTCATGAGGAGGGATCCCCAAGGTCTTTTCGAGGTCTGCATGGAAGGTTGACCAGGTCCACAAGGTCTGAGGTACAATAGGATGAGGGATTGGTCCGACCATACTAAAACAATCTAACATATACTAAATATTTTGGTCTGGGAAGTGGACGTTGGCCCCAAAAGAGAGGCAAGAAAGGCAGCTAGTATTGAAGAAACAATTGCACCAAAAAACGGTCGACCTGGGTTTGTGCAAGTGTTTAACATGTTGGGCCAGATATTTGTCTTTTTTAAAGGCGTTTATTATTGGAGGTCCCGAGGCGGACCAAACTAATAGGAGGTGCTATGTTAATCCTATGTCCACATTACAGTATATGTAATATACTGCACTCTTGGACTGCCTGATGTTCACTAATGGTTGGGACCATCATGTTTGAAATGACGGTATGTCACTGATATATCACGTTTATATAGTAGATACCTTTAAGCCTTTATAGGATGTTTAGGGAGATTGATTCGCAGTGCAAATCAGGCATTGGAACTCAGGATTGGTCTTTCGCGTGATCCGTCCCAAAAGTACACTGCAACATCAGGGGCTGCCGAGTCAAAGTCAAACCCTATGCTTGTACGTGGGAAGCCCTTCGTAGTGCCCGCCCCCGCCCGGAAGACGACCCAATTATTGCCAATATGGACTCTATAGCTGGATTTCTTGGTGTCACTTTAGCGGTGGAAGTGTCATTCCTCCAGTGCCGAGGCTGGATTCTCGAACAAGGCGCCACATTTTCGACGCAGACGCGTTCCAAGAAACACTTCACAGAGGACTGATCAGCGTGCTTATAGGCTTGCCTTCGAATAAAGCTTGAACAATGCAAACCAAGATCGACGACAACCAACTTTCTTCCGTGAGATGGAGAGAAAAGCGTCAATCATTGCGACAGTTCAAAGTCCCAGGCTCCCAAGAGAACTATAGACTATAGACATGACATTGACGCCACACTCTCCACAACTGAAGCATTGAAAAGACTCATCCGATTCTCCACACGTTTTGGGATGTGTTGAGAAGGTATGTGTTCAGATGTGTTCGAGAACGGGCCCTGTTGACGGGGTGTGTCGCATGGCAGGGCGCCCCTCTTCGAGGTGTGTCCGATCCGCACGGGTCGTGGTGACCCCCAAGGGATTGTCGTGGGAGTGCCAGGAGCTCCGTTCGTAGCTTCTTGCTCCGTTCGTAGCGATGTCCTTGTTACTTAGTAGCTTCTTGTTCTATAGTAGTAAGGCCAGGAGCCCCTAGTACTCGTAGCGTCCTCCTAGCTCCTAGTAGCTTGTCATGGGAGTGCCGTGTTGGAGGTTGGCACCTCTTGTCTGTCAGTCCGGTTTTGTGGTTTTTGGTGGCGAGTTTGTCGGGCGGCGGTGGCACGGCCCGTGGTTGGGCGGGGCAGGCCTTTGAACGAACCTATATTGTTTGACGATTGCTGGGAATGATGGACAGATAGTTAGTCCTTGGTGCGTTTGGTAAGCAGATAATTACGGTGGAACACGTTCAAGCTGTTCCACACATCCTGGTGCCAAAAGAATGCAAGGGCAGTGACAGTGGGCCCAGCACTCTTTTTGGGGCAGCAGGGGAGGAACCATGAAAGCAAGATTTGTAAATTTGCCAACATGTTTCATATATAGAGTAGCCTTTCAGAGTCGAAGCTGCAGATCCAAACTTGTGTTGAACACTGTTCTTTGCTGTAGTCCATCACTTTTCGGCAAAACCCACCCAAGTTCGGACGCCCATCACCGGACTTGTTGGATCGATCTAGTCAGCACCCCAAAGCACCGATGTTCACCGACTCAGATCCGACGCAAAGAAAAACCACCCATCCGGGGGACAGCGCCGTTTCGCAGTCCGCGCCGTGAGTTGCAGGATATCGACATTTTCGACTTCAAGCTTTCTGCCGAGGAGTTTCTGCGATCTTTCATGATGCCAGGGTGGCCATGGGTTTCTTTGGCCAAGGTGGCAGTGTTGGTTTGTAATGTTCTTCGGGTGGAAAGCAGAAAGCACCACGATTGGAACTGATCCAACGTCCAAAAGGCTAAGAGAATGGATCGATCTCACCAGATCGATCCACTGGAAGGACCTTGCGGCACTGGAGAAGATCGCGTGAGAGACCGGGCACTGATCGGCACGGATCGCGCGAAGAGAAAAGACGGTCCGTCTCGACCGCTGTCCTTCGAGCTTTTTGAAGGGCCGGTTTTTCAAACGCTCGAAAGGTGTTTGTCGATATTTTGCAAGGTGTTCAGTGACCTTTGTCAAGTAGGTAGGTCACCCAAATTCTTAATTTTGATGCTCATTGATGAGTAAAATATATATTTTATAATAAACAATATTCCACAAGACTCATGGCAATGGGTGGTTATTTGAATCAACAGACAACATTATATTATTATATATAGAACATACATAACATAGTAATACTTTACCTTATCCCAATCACTCGGTGGCCTTGACAGCGAGTGGGAACGGGACGCTCTTAAAAAGCGAGTAGAAGAGGAAAGATGCACAACGGGCCGTTTTTGAGACACCCAAGCCCAGACGACAAGGGCATGAAGGCCGTGTGTCGTTCCGGATGCATTACCAGCAGATGACCAAATCCACCTATGAAACAGATTCATTACCAGCTCGGTAGGATGTCTTTGCTCTCCTTTTTTCAAATGTGTGTTAATGGTCCAACAACAAACCAACTCCAAGCCCAGTGAGTTTTGGTGGCCATCAGCGCCTTGGGCCGCGTTGGGCCAACGGCTCCATTTGTGATGTGACTCCCTCATGTTGAAATAGGATCAACGCATCCAAGAATCGGTATGGAACTGATCCCTTCTACCCGCCATGTCGAACCAAATCGTCCGAATCCAGGGGGCAAGAGTCCTTCCATTCCTGGAAAAAGTTCGGAAGAAGGGATCTGAAGAGACAACTCTGAGGAGTTCAGCTCGAGATCACCGTTTGAGGCCGAGCCTGGCGCACCCGAAGAGGTCGGCCGAACTCGTGCAGTGCTGCTTGGTGCGGCACAACTCGTGTCTGGAGCACCAGCAAGCAGCCCAAGCAAAACCTGGAAAACACGGCAGTTTAAATGGATTTCTTTGGTACGCTTGTTCAATAACCTAGGCAAGTGCAAACTGGACATGTTGTTTTTGTTCATGATTTCTTTGGTATACGCTTGATCAACAAACTAAATTTTTCTTCGCTTGGGAACAGGAAGGAACAGGTCCTTTTTGTTGGTCCCGGTGTGACCAAACATTGATTTGAAACCATCTATGTGTGTCACAGAATCTATGTGGGGGTCAAAACCCGTAACACGTAACCCCTGGTAGGAACACCTAATCTTGAGACATTAGTATCCCTGGAGGATAGGGATTGCTGGATATTGTTTGATTTATGTTTAATGCAAGACTATGAACAAATAGGGTTTTGAACATATGAAAAACAATGTGTGTTTTAGTGTGTTTTTGTTGTTATGCACATAAGGTGAGGGGGAAAAAAATTGTGACAAGAATACCAAATTAGCACGTATATATAATATATATATATATATATCAGATCGTGTGATATGCTGTTCAATGTTTTTCAATGTTTTTGTTTAATATATTTATTATCAGATTTATGTCATAGTGTTTCTCATAGTTTCATATGTTTTATATAACATAATACATATTTGTTACTGTGTGTATTCTCCAAAGTTGTGTTTTTCTCGTTTCATATGTCAGGAATTCATCATCATATTCATATTGTGCTGAGAAACAATGGGTAATTGTTCAATCCATCTTACGCTCCAGGGTAATTATGTCTAAAACCTACTCAACCTTCCAGGTATAGGTCAACTAAGGTGAACCCAGTCTCAAAGCCTGTGAAGTCCGGCGAATTCCGGTCGGTTCTTAGGCTGAGCGCCCTCTACAGCGCGAGCAGCGCCTTGGGTGAGGAGCCGCTGGGGAACTCGGCAGTCGCGGTGGCACCGTTCTGCGGCTCGAGTTCAAGCTCACCCGGCTGGGCTTAAAGGAATGAGGTCAAGGAGGTCACTGGATGGAGAGGGATTCGGAGCCTATGAACCTTTCTGTCTTTTCTTTGTTCGGACCCTCCGTTCAACTCCGTCCCTCCGTCACGGGACCTGAATCGGGAGTGGGGGTGAGCGGGTTTGGCCCACCGTCTGACTTGGATTGGGGCGGGGGGGGTTGGCAGAACTCTGAAGTGCCCTGCACTGGGTTGTGGAAAGTCGACTCAGTTGGGGTTTGAAAAGACCCTTTTGGAACTTATTATCATATACTGTGTACGGTACATTTTAGGATGTCTTTGGGTCTGTGCTATCATATTTTTAAAAGAATGCGCGACAACCATGCCTTGACAGTATTTCAGGTTGTTGTCCTCTAGATTCTAGATCTTCCTCGAACCCAAATCTGTGACACAAACAATATCACGTTTACAAGTCCAGATATTCCAGGGGGGCAAGTGAATTGGTCGATTTTTTATCCTTATGGGGTGGTTTGCAACCTTGGGTGCCCGAATCCCGACAAGACATACAAGATCTTAGTCAATAAGTTTCTTTATACATCTGAATCCATAATTCAAAAAAATTAGCGCAAAAAGAGAGGTCCAGCAAGTGCAGGTTGTTTCTAAGGTCTCTCGAGATCAGGCCACCTGCAAAACTGGACTATGCCCAACCACCTTCTGATCCCAGAGTAGTACTGAAATAGTAATAGTAGTAGTAGTAGTAGTAGTAGGAGTGGGAGTGGGAGTGGGAGTGGGAGTGGGAGTGGGAGGAGGAGTAGGAGCAGGAGTATAAGAATATATATACGAGTATACGTAGGAGTAGTAGGAGTAGTAGTCGTCGTCCTCGTGGTTAGTGGTAATTGTATAGTTGATTTGGCCTAGGCCCAGAGATTCCCCGGTCCAGCGGAACTGGCTGTTGTGATCCGCTCAAGCAGTCCAGTCCAGGACGCTTCCGTTTTCCAAACCGCGGACGCTCAACCAGAGGTCCATGTCTGCGGTGGTGGCGCAGCTGCGACAGATCAAGGCCTTCAGCTCACCCCATAGGCGAGTGACCTCGGGCGCAGCGACCTAAAATGTAGACGAAGACAGGCAGCTCTTTCTTCTGTGCAGCTGGAGAATCGATGCAGCCTTGATTATCAGTCAGAACCCTGTGTCCATGCCATGGTTGCCCATGGTTCAGTGATGTTTTGATATGTGTTGAATGATAAACTTCACCAAGTTGGCGCCTCAAAACAACAAACTCCTGAACCAGGTCACATGGAGCTTCCTCCGAGTCACTGATCAAAACACATTTAAAACTTAACATGTCCTTCCTCATCATGCAGACCCAGCATACCCTGCATTGTCTCCAATACTCCTGCCCGCTCCGCAGTTCCGTGGCACTGCGAGCCTTGCGTGATGGGCAGGTGCGACTGCAATGGACCGGGAATCCACCGGTTGCGAACTGGGACCTATTTGCGTGGACTGGTGACGTCGCAGCTTTGGTACCACCGGGTTCAAGGTTTTTCCCCCAAACAATTTACTGTGGCAGTTCGATCTTAGAGAAAAAAGAGCTGGCCACACTC